GGAGGTCTGCTTGCAGTTCTGTATATTCGGACACTGTGAGCTTGGACCTCCTGGACCAAAACATCAGTTTCCTCCTGGGAGAAGTTTGGCCGTCTGACGCTGCTGCTCTCTTCTGCCATGGCGAATTGAGTAAACTCTCATTATGCCTTCGCGCGGCGCATTTAAGGGCGAGGAGAGGGGCTCATTTGATTGGTGTGATGTGTGTAAAACCCACTCCACGCCTTCTCTCCTCCCTCTTTCCGACTTGCGCAGGTAGGAGGGACGGAGGTGGGACAGACGAGTAGCTGCGCCAGCGCGCACGGTGTGCCAAACTTTCAAAATCTGCCTGGCCACACCCAGTTGGCAAAGTGCAGGTGCGCTGCGCCCCCACCTCACCCTTTCTGTGAAACTAGAGCCCTATGTCTCTGTCCTCAGTCCCGGCACTGTGCCACTACAATGCATAAAGATGGCATATTGCAGGTTTGGGTGGCCTTTGTAAATGGAATGTGGCATGTGCCATATCTTTATGCAAGATGGGGGACAAACTCAAAGCTCTCATCTAACATTTTATTTAACACTTTTTTTTCACATGCTGTTATGTAACATGTAACATTTTGTTTTATTTACTTTTAATTTATCATTATAGTATTTTTTTTATTTATAATGTAACACTTATTGATTAAATTATTCAATAATGAAAGGCTGCTTTTGTCTAAATACTATGTACTATGGAAGTATAGGTGTTTGCTTGGAAAAATTCTGGACCTTGGACATATGTAGCCAATGGCCCCATGTTGTGGAGGGTATTTATGTTTCTGAATGTCAGTGACCAACCCTCAATAAATATTTGGATGGTCATGGTGAAGCAGAGATGATGAAACCAACTAAAACAGTCCAAAATGTGCATGCTGCATTGTAAAATTATTGTCAGTAAACCTGAAAAGTAATTTACAATTAGATGGTAAAGCTGCTGTTGATGTTGCTAACATGTGCAAATAGTTGCCTGTTTAAACATTAATTAACAACATTAAACATTAGCATTGGCATTAGCATGTTGTTTCTGGCCACCTAATAAATGCAAGTCCAGTATTTACTCACATTTAGCTCTGTTTTGCTCTCCACCTACTGAAGGGTAGGTGCTAAATGCTTCACTGTGTTGCTAGTCTGGGGCCGTTTAGTGGCCGTTTTGGTACGGAACCAGAACCAGGGCGAGAGAGACACGATCCGGAATTTGATGGATGTGCCTTTCCGTCAAAATAAAAGCACCAAGGTAATAAAAATGCGGTGAAACTTTTTAATTTAAAGAATATAATTTACAAGAAAAGCCCCAAGCCATTAAGTTAACCTTTTTCTTTTATTGTAAATCGATGGTGCGCCAGAATTTAAAGTTTTACTTTGGTGAACACTTTTACTTTGGTGAATTTGGTGAATTCCGGATCTGCTCTCTAGACCGTAACCAGAATCCATACAAAATTCAGAGTGAATGGAAACCAGGCTCTTCGCTGTACGTGAAGAGCCTGGTGATGCGAGGCTAGTGTTGTTTAGTAGTGTTGCTTTTTTTTTTTTTTTTAACTTTAAACAGCTGCTGGTGTGTTCAGACTGGATCAAAACAGTAAAGGTGTGTGGCATGGACTCACAACAATGAGCTAAAAATGTGGAACACTCAGCAGAGCCGATGATAATTGATAATTCTCTGTGGGTGCCTGTTCACATGACACGTAGTCATAATAATATATAGAATAATATATAGAGTAGTGCAGCTTAGTGGCAGTGGTGGTTAAGCTCAGTGTGTGTGTGTGTGTGTGTGTGTCTGTGTGTGTGTGCCAACATTGGCCAGTTAAGGAGTTACTTGTTAGTCTGTATAACTGTTTATACCTGTTTAATCCTCTTAGTTTGTTTTTAGAATGTGTGAAGAGGAACTGGATTACATGCAACAATGCATCTTTTTTTTTTACCTTGATCTAGAACAATTGAACCAAACTACAGGTGTGAAAGCACCCTAATGCTGGGCTCAGATGACACAACATTTTTATTTATCATTTATCATTATTGCTATTATTATCTTGCAAATAGCTCATGATAAAATCCTTTTAGGAAATGAAGGGATTCTCTAACCCAAAATTATAAGGGACTTTTTCATTTTAATTTTAACAGCTACAGCAGGTGCAATACATTAACTTTAACAGGGTAAACAGGAGCTGATTAAAAGTAAAAATAGAAAAATACAGAGGGAATGAGAAATAAAGGCCTGTGTCTGGAAATAAAAGCCTGTTACTAAAGTTTCAAATGAAACTGGTACCCTCTACAGTTGTGGTTAGTAAAAGCCCTGCGACTAAATGTGAATTTTATTCCTTTGTATACTACTCCATAATGAAGAAATACATTCTTTGCTAGCTTGATGCTAATGGCAGTACTTACCAGGTTCCTAAAGTGCCTCTGCTATTTAGTGACATCATTCTAGGTAGTCTCAAGAGGAAAAGGCTGGGGTGTTGTTGCCACACAGTTGTCCACGGCAGCAGACTACTCTGTGTTTTTTCCCTGTTAAAGAGTTTTTTGGGGGAGTTTTTCCTTTTCCGCTGTGAGGGTCCGAAAGGACAGAGGGATGTCATATGCTGTAAAGCCCTCTAAGGCAAACTGTGATGTAGACTTGCACCGATTAATCGGCAGTGCTCGAAATCGGACCGGTTTTCACGTGATTGGCCATGTGACCACATGTGCAACTCACGGCTTGGGCAATGTCAGGAAGTGAAACATGGGCGGCTTCTCACCTTAATCAGTCATGCACACACACATCAAGACAGAGAAGGAGAAAGTTGTTAATTTTCTGTGTTAAACTTAACTGCGGAGCATTCACTGCTGCACTGTGATGCTTGAAACTGACGAGGCGCGTGTCCACGCATTTACTAGAGGGCACGTCCCGAAGACCTGTGTGAATTTTCCACAGGAGATATTTTTTCTTTTTTGGCTTTTCAAGAAATTACCCACAAATGCTATACACCAAGAATTTTTATTTTATTTATCTATGTTTTTAATTATGTATGCCTTTTTTACTTATGTATTGTAATACTGTACCTGAAGTTATATTTGAGCAAAAAGGAAAATGTTTCTTAACCCGTGTCACTGTTTTTGTTTGTTTGTTTGTTTGAGCTGGTTGTATCTTGGTTTAAATATTCTAATAAAGCAAAGATAGAAAATATTGCAGTATCTTGTGTGCTGTAAAGTGGTTTGAAAAAAGAGAAATCGGAATCGGCCATCCAAACACTCTGCAAATCGGCCCAAAAACGGTGCAAGTCTAGCGATTTGTGATAATGGGCTTTATAAATAAAATTGAATTGAATTGAATTGAATTGACATGGTTTAATCCTAATGCAATAGTTTCTTGGAGACCTCACAGGCTGCAAGATCTGGTGCACTCCGCAATTCCTCTGAAGCGCTCAAAGCTTCGTCTAAGACCTATCATTTCTTTTCTTCTCACTGTGTGGCGTTCTGCTGAGAAAATTTGTAAGTCAGTCCAGAAGTGGCATCTGAATAGTCCAATTTGGAATGATAAAGGCATAATTGTTTTAAGGACGTTTTTGTTGACAATGGTCTCCGCTCCTTTGAGGACCTGTGTGCTACATATGACCTCCCTGGGTTCTCTTTCTCCTTATATCTTCGGTTAAGGTCCTCCATGAAGGCATATGGTGTACCATGGAAAACACAACTTCCATCTTACATTTTACACGGTCTTTTAGACAAGCACGGTGATACCAAGAGCTTGGTTTCTGTACTGTACTTGCAGCTCTCTAAATCTTCTTACAAGCCCCTGCATATACAGAGTGTGTGGTCCAGAGACCTGGATTTATCAGATGAAGATAAATGTATTTCATGGAACAAAGTGTGGTCTTCAGTTGTTGATTCATTTAAGAATCCAGATCACCAACAGATCCACTTGAATTTTATACATAGGACTTACCTTACAACTAGAAAACGCCACGCAATGAAAATTATTACATCCCCACTGTGTGATCTCTGTCCTGATGGGCATGTTGGTTCTTACATATGTTTTGGAAATGCTGTGCTGTGGCGTCTTTTTGGGAAATGGTGTCCTCCACACTGTCTGATATGCTGGGAACTGTAATTCCATGCTCACCCACAGTCGTGCTCCTACATAATCTCCAGTTACCATATCCTTTAAAAAATGTGTTTTTAGCAGGCTTGACTGCAGCCAAAAAGGTGCTTGCTCTCCGCTGGCAACCACCTCACACATTAACACGTAGACATTGTTTGAACACTTTTCTGGGTGTGATTGTTTTTGAGCTTTCTGTGGCGAGAATGCATGGTGCAAGTGAGAAAACTAATCTGCTATGGACAGATGTATCAATTAAGGTAAAGGTGCTGCTGGATAAATAATTGCTGTGACATAACATACTGATGATGATGATGATGATGATGATGATGATGATGACGTATAAATTTTCTCTGTAGATCTAGGGGTGGGTGGGGAGGTGAATCGCCACGGGTATATGTGAGGAGAGAATGGCTGCTTATATTGTTCATTTATGTGCATATGTAACTACATAATGTATGTCACTTCTCTTCTATGTAGGAAACACAAAAAACAAAATAATTGATCCAAAAAAATTGAATTGAATTGAATTGGTCAAATTTACGTCTGTAATGGGAGAAGTCGTGAAAGACAAGAAAATCAGACATGCCAGACTTTCTGTTGGGACGTTGTGAGGCATCCCAGATGTAGCTGTGCATGTCGTCTACTATGACACTAACCGGGATAAAACGATATTCGCGCACGTCACTTGTCTTTCACTATGCGAGCCGCCACCATATGACAGCTGCATCGGGCTGTATTTCAGGATGATAATGTGTAGTCTGAACCCAGCATTAGTTGGAGCTTGCATATTGAGAATGGCAACACATGAGTGGATGTATATTTGCTCCATTGAATGCCATGTTTTTAATGGAGATACTAATTTGGATCTTCCCTAAGTAACTGTCAGTGTGTGTGTGTGTGTGTGTTTCAGGTGCTGGGCAGTGCTGGAAATCGTGCCCCAGACATCGATACCAGAGAGGCGACTGGCAGCTGAGACAACTACCCAGCCCGACCCTGCAAGCCTGTTTGGTCCTCCTCCCTCTGTCTCCCCTCTGCAGTACTCCAACATCTCACTAGAAGAGTGAGTCTTTACTCTGAATGATCTCTTGTTCTTTTTTGTGCATTTCATCAAATCCAACGGGCCCACTTCTGCAGTCTATTGCTGTCTAAACATATTCTCTGTCATTAAGGTCAGGCACTTCCTAATCTGCCCTGCATTGGACATGCTTTACAGTTGATTCAATTATGTTTCCACAGACATTAGATGAACCAGGTTTCATCACTTCTAAGTGGCTTGTCTGAAGTGGTTTGAGTCCAAAAAATCTGATTGCAGTCCAGTTAACTGTAGCATGGCGGACCTGTCTCTGATCTATGATATAATAGATAGATTGATTAAATCCAATGAGACATTGCTACATTTTTCCTTGTTCCCTGTATCCTTGTATCCTTGTTACACTGATATGAATATGTGCATCAGTCCAGAGTGTTCCCCCTTTTATCTGTAGGTAAATATCTGATGTATCCATCTCCATTTTTGCATAATGGTTTGGGATCTTCTCCTGTAGTCAGTTTGGATTATACTCACTGTACTTACTTTACTTACTGTAATGAATCCCACCACATTATTGATTGAAGAGCAAGATTTTACTATAAATGTCTCGGTGCAGTGCGGGGCAGGGCATTGCTCTTACCTGATCAAATGAACCAAAATTAAAGAGTGAATGCTCCACAGGTCACTCTGTGGCAGATGAGAACAAGCCTGTACATGATCTTGGGACCAAGCCAAAGCATTGATATTGGGTTGCAGAACAGAGCTGTAAAGCAATGTTTAGTTTTGTTTTCCTCAGCAGAAACTTTTAAGAACATTCTTAGAACTCAGAACTGATTTAGCATTTTTTCAGTCCTCAGGCACTGCAATTGTGTGCATTTCTGTCACAAAGGAGACATTAGTAAAACACCTTGGTCACTGCAGAACTATGATACTGCTAGTTTTATTGAAGTTGACAGTTTATTTTTGACCTTGTAAACAACAGTTGACAAACAATCTCAACTCAACTTACCATATTATGTGATCATCAGCAGTTGTAGCTTACTCAGTCGCGGTAGATCTTCAAGGCCCTGAAACACCAAGCCATTGGTCAATGTTGGGGCGTCGGTGAGTGTCCGACGCCCTAGTCTTTGCTGTGCTTCCCGCACCGCTGGCTCTCGTCAGCCCTTGTCAGCATTTTTTCAGCCGATTCAGCATGTTGAATCGGTGGAGCCCATTGGTGAATAAAATCAGTCTGATTGTCAATTCAGCTTGGTGCACGAGAAGAGAAACAGAAGTGACGAAAAGTAAACAAAGCGCTCAAGTCAAGAGGGAGTGAGGTCGAAACAAACTAAGGTAAAAAAAAAAAAAATCTTAAGCCACTGAGCTCTGATGGTTTGTGTTTATGTTATTTGTATTATTTGTGCTAACTGGCTAACTAGCATCATGACGATCTACTAGTTCCCTTTTTTTGAATATTCATTAGAGACTACCCCTGTCTACTATTGTGGAGAGTTACTTCCTCTCATGCAGGTGTAGGTGGTACGTGCTGTCTGGCCGACGGCTGTTGTCTTGTCTGTGTTCATATGCAACTTCATAGCCAAGACACAGGTGACATAAGGCCATGTGACAGTCAGCTTTTGTAGCTGCTCGTTCTTTGATGTTGTTTTGGTGTGTTTGAGCCTTTAGATTTACACTGAAATAACATCAAGCAACGGCAAAGTGCATCTTACTGCAATATAGACATTTCTATGCGGCTGGGAGGTGTGTTCCTGTGTTTCAGATGGGAGGAAGTTCTATTGTTACCTCTCTCAGTGACAGCTTACCGGCTCCGAACTGTAGTTTGGAACAAGCTGGCTTATTAACATTGATTTAGCTTGGATGGTTATTAGCTGGTAATTAGCTTCTAGCAATCCGGACCACTCTGCAAAAGGAAGGATGGCGAGGCGTTTGGATGCTGTTCTCTAACATTGGCTTTATTGCAGTCTTCACCACAAAACAAACATGGCCTTTTCATGAGTTTAAGATGTAGCTCTGATCTTATCTAGACACTTAATTCTGCTGACATTCATCACTCTTTGCCGCCTGTCATCTTCTCCATGACACCCACAGAGAGCTGCTTCCCTCTATGCACAATGAAGTACACGTCACATCCTCACAGGTTACCCATAAGGCCACCGCCCTTAAAGAGGAATAAGGGTGAGTCGGTAACATTATGTAACATAGGTCAGCATGTCTCGGGAGTGACAGGACTCTGTTAACTGAGTGGCTGTGGGTATTCTTTGGCCACAGTTTACTGCAGAATCAAATGGCTGCAGCTTGGACTGGTGGCTGCAGCTTTCCATAGACTAGACCTTGGAAACAGTGGTGGACAATAACATCTCAAATCAAGGTCTACTTACTCTTTTGTTCTGGAGTTTCAGATAGTTATAAAGCATGGAGGGGGAGACTCAATAATAGATTTTATATACTGTGGACATGAAGAGTGATGCACTACCACCTATAAAAAAGATAGAATCAAAAACATTATTCCAAAGTGTCCTCAGTTATTTGTGGTAGAATCAAATATTGTAGAATAACATCCATTGACATCAGCTCAGCGCTTAAATAATTTGGCCTTCATGGAGCTCTTTCTATGCCATTACATTGTCATTTCCCATTCTGAGATAATAAAACAGCACCAGATTTCTAATAATAAGTCAGCTTTTTGTCATCACAATTGTACAGTGTGCTATTCCGTTGACGCCCAAAGGTGACAGTGATGATACATCAGCAGAGAAGTGTGTGAATGTGCACAATTAACAGCTCTTGTACTGAATATGTAATTATTTCAAAGCATCTTTGAATTGTAATAGCTCCTTGGCTCAGGCCTTTCCTTTCCATTAAATCCTCCTTCATTCCACTGATTTGCAGAACAATCGTTTCTCATTCTGATTGCTTGGCATAATTTTTTATTTCTATGTTATTCTTCCCCCCCTACCCATCACTGTTCATCGTTCATCTATTTAAAAAGCACAGCTCCTGTGACCCACATGGCTGAGACAACCTCAGTGACAGGTACTCTCCTCTGGCTGCTCGGCACAGCTGTGGCTTTCACAGACCAACAGTGCCCCCTAGTGGATTTCTGTCAATTGTGTGGGGAGAAAAATCTTCTGTTAGGAGCACATGGTTGTTACAGTGTACCCCTTAAAATCCCAATCCTCTAACCTTGTTCCTCTCCTCTGTTGAGTCCATAAGAGCAGCTCTGTGCATTTAAAGCATTATTAGGATGAAGGGGACAACAGCTTTACAGAAAATACAGTATACCTGGCTATGTTAAATTAGTTAAAATTTACTGAAAGAAAACTGTTCTTTATTCATGCAGACTGATCAAAAATTGTCACCAGTAGGTCCTCCAGATCTTTCATCAGGTGCTCAGTGATGCAGTAAGCTACTGGAGAAACAAGACATATAGAGACATTAATGGTATATTTTTGTTCTGAGAGAAATGATTACCTTGTCTTCCAAGTAAAACGGGAACAGTCAAGCATCAGTAAAGCTTACATATTTGTCTTTTGATTGGTGTCTGTAATTTATTTGAATTCATTTGGCAGACACTTTTTACCATAGAAATGTACATATGAAGTACAATACAAGCTGCAGCAGATCAAGAAGCCTTTGAGAATAAATGCTTCAACACCCACTTCTATGTTTCACCTGATGCAAGTGCAACAAGGCTTGCAGGTGCATATAGTAACACAAATGCCTACTCACTGTTCAGTTTATGACTAGATGTTACAATACCTTGATGCACATACTTGAGACTACGATTGGGAGTAATAGTGCCATCCAGGGGATTCTGAGTGGGAGCCAAAGGGTTAAGGTTAGATGGATATAAACGTAGGAAAGAGCATAGAAAAGTAAGAGGAAGCCTAGGGAAGGCAGAGCCAAGGAGAGACGTCTGTGTGTACTGACCTCTCCCCCACCAGACTAGGCCACACTCTCTACCTCCCCCTGCTCCCACATTTTGATGAGGGAAGAGAGGGGAGAAGAGAGAAGAAACTCACAGGAGAAAAATGTACCTAACTTTATTCGAGATGGAGTTTTCCTGGTCCATTGTTGTTGCACATACTTGCAATTGTGAGTGATAGTTGGAGCCATGCTCAGGGAGGGGGTTTGGGTTTAGGAAGGGTTTAAGCTTCACAGGGGTCATCAGGTGGGTACTCTCTTTCAGTGGTGTTTCGATGATAGGTCCAGAGGGCTCATGTGGCATCCCAGGTGTGCCTCCCTCTTCTTTTACTCCCTCCAACCCTGCTGTTGTAAGTGTCATTTCAGGGCCCAAGTGGTGTCACTCATCTTAATCCATAGCCACCTGCTTGCCTGTTCGGCTACACCAGAGAGGGCTGATGTTGGGCTTGGCATTCCCATTTCTTTGAGCAGCCTGGTAGTTGACTTGCCTACAAAGCCTCTGCAGCCCACATCAACTGGGCAAACTTTCGCTTTCCAGCTGTGTTGCTCAGCGTCAGCTTCCAGCTCAGTGTACATAAGGCTCTTGCGCTCGTAGGCCTCCTCCACTGTGTCCTCCCAGGGCACAGTGAGCTCAATGATGTAGACAAGGCGCAGTAAGGACGACCAAAGCGTGAGGTCTGGTCTGAGATTAGTAGAGGCAATCTCAGATGGAAAGCACTACGCTGATTCAGAATCAAGTGTGGTAACTTATTCCACCACTGAGGGAAGGACCACACTGGAGAAGAGTTTTAATTGAGACATCAAGCCTCACAGTGACAGTATAAGTAGTTGTTCATTTGCAGATGGAAGTGAATGAGAAGTCTCATTAATCTGAACGAGGGAGTCAACAATAAGAAAACAGTGGTCTTACAAGAATTTGGCCAGCCTGCATCAAAATTGTTGCCTGATATCAGACAAAATTGTCTGTTGGTTTCACTTTGTTTCCATCTTTAGTCTGACATTGTGACCACTCAAACCAGTTTCAGTGGGGTAAGGAGATTTGATTTTCCGTAGCCAGCAGATACGCCGGATCTGCCACTAAATATCAGCGGTAAAAGCAGTGTATA